AGGGGTCACAACCTTTAAGTTTCTATAAAAAGGGGTTTTATGTGAGTTTACTTTATATTTTTATTGTAACTCTTTTTATTTTAAATATTAATTGAATAAATATAATTCAATACTTTATTTTATCTTCTACAAATCAATGATGATCCTTCATATAAAAAAGCCAGAATTTTATAATAATATTATTAACAAATCAAGGTTTATATACTTCCTTTTCCCCTTAATAAATATAAATTTATTAATGATTTGTTTATTTATATTTTTTTTCTTTTCTTTTAACGATACACAAACATACTCGATTAAATACAAATAATAATAGTAATCGATTAACATATAATAATAATAATTCAACCCCAACAGCGTCTACATGAGTGGGAGGGGTAGGAACAGTTTGCATCCTATTTTTTTTGAGGGGGTAGGGGGTAAGCTGCTAATGGGCGTAGGATAAATTTTTTTGGGGGGTTATCTATTAAATTTTGAGATGAAATAAGACAAAATGGAATTTTTTAAAATTATATTCGACCTGGTATATACAAAAATTCACCTATGAGGTATTTTACCATATTTTTCAGCGAGTATTATCGCTTATTATTTAAAAAAGACATGTAAAAAGCTAATATTTTGAGAATATTATATTGAATTTATAAAAATTATAAAACTGTTATTTATAAAAATGGATATTTTGAGCATATACTATATTTTATATTGCATTTATAAAAATAAAACTAACATTCATAAAAATGGTAATAATATTTGTCATATACTATATTTTATATTACATTTAAAAAAAATAAAACTAATATTTAATTTATAAAAATGGAAAATATTTTGAGAATATAATATATTGTATTTAATTTACTATTTAATTTATAAAATAAAAATAAATCGCTATTTAAAAAAATGCATGTATAATAAATAGTATTTTGGAAATATAATCTAATTGCACAATATTAATATAATTTATTTTCTAATATAAATTTTTAACAAAAGAAGATAATTGTATTATATAATATTGTAAAAAAAAATAATGAAAAATGTTGGATTAAAAACTTTCATGACTCAAGTTAAATATAATAAATGCAATAAATATTTGACAGTTTGCAAAGTAAAAAACCAGCATGATTGACGAAACCCTATACTCAAGAAAGATATTAAAAATTCACAAATTATCATGAAGAAAGAGAAGCATATCTACCTTTTCAGGTTGAAGATTATTTCTTCTTTCTTCAAGAATTCTCCCAGTAGTGGAAAAATTCCGCTCACAGCTTGCACTTAAAGCAGGAATTGTCAATTTTGCTAAAATTGGAAATTCGCTTTGATGAGCCGCCCACCACTTTAACAAATTATCCACCTTAAATGTTTTATCTATTATTTATGTAATTATAATATTCATCATCGGGTATTGACATATTACCAGAATTACCATCGCCCCATTTGTCATAAAACGATTCAGTTTGTTTAACAACAGTCGTAATTTGACTGGTCGATGGTATTTCATTTACTTCCTGAGCCTCTTGTAATTTAATATAATCTTTTATATAGTTTTCCGTCATTTTGCGATCTGTCCCTGACTACATACGTAATTGCTTGAATTTGGGACAGAGAAAAAGAGAAATAAAATGATACTTGTGTAAAACAAATTTTTCAATTAAAAAATGCTTTATATTAAGTAAAATCAATTTTATTTCTCCCTTTCTCTTTAAAAGGTATTACAAACTTTAAGAAGTGATATTCCTTTATTTGATTGTTTTGGTAAAATATATTCTAAAAATTTAGATATGAATTATAAAAAAAAATATATTAATACTTTAAATAAATTTGCAGGAAATTAATAATTAGATCGATCTGTGGGTTGTTAGGTAGTGTTAACCATCACCCAATATTATATTAATCATAACTATAATATAATATAATCTTATAACCATTAACTCATAATGTAAAAATTTTTATAAAAAATATTAAGGCCCGGCCCGGGTTTAACAATCTTAGGCCCGGCCCGGATATATTTTAAAAAAAATTTTTAGGCCCGGCCCGGATATGTTTAAAAAAAATTTTTTTAGGCCCGGCCCGGGTATATTTAAAAAATTTAAAATACGACCAAATCTATATATTGCAAACAATCATACACATTGTTTTCCAAATAAACTATCCTTTTAAATATAATTTAAAAGGTTTCGATATTTCAGCAAGCTCATAATGCCATAATAATTAATTCATTGTAAATAATGGAGATTTTAATTAAATTTATTATCTTAAAAATAAATTCTTTATATTCACAAAATATCGATAGTTGGTAGTAGAGATAGATTAATTTAAGTTATCCTTTATAAATTATTTGAAAAGAGTATCAATAAATAAATAGGTAAAAATAATGATAAAGAGACATCGCCGCCGAAGGTGGCGCGGATTTTTTAGGGGGGTAGGCAAAGGTTTTTGAAGGGGGTTTGCATCCAGTGAAACTCCTGTCATGTAGACGCTGAACCCCAACAATATACAAAATATAATTCTAACCTCTAACACTATTTTAAAAATTTTATGCTATATAATGAACTTTTTAATGTTCCTTTTACAATATAATATCTTTATATATTGGGTAAACGTTAATATTTCAAAATTCTCTTTTTATGGCTTTAATCAAAAGTAGCATTTTACCGGTTTTACTCATTACAGCTTTAGCCCAAGGTGATATATAACAAAAGTTATTGCGTGACTTCTAGTTAAGCTATAAACTTTATTTAATAGTTAAAATCCTAAAAAACATATGTACAAATTTTTAAATTATAGCAATATAGAAGCGAATTATAGGATTAAAACCAGGGATCCAAACCGAACCTTTAAACCGCTAAAAAACGGTATTTTTTATCGAACCTAAAGTTAAAAATATTCTAGGCGAAATTGAACCAAACCGCTAAAATACCTCTGAACCGGTTCCAGCCTTATGAATTTATGCTTATAAAATAATGTGTAAGTTATTACTAGTGTATTCAAATTTTTTAAATTATATTCGAATGGTTTCAAAGATTAATATCAATCACTTTGATTGATAAGTGTCAGTGATAATTTTTATAAACTTTAGTATGCTATTTTACTACATATTTAAATATTTTAAGCTTATAAATTATAATGCCTAGATAAATTAAATCAAATATATAAATTATTTACATATAGTATTATAAATGACATATCAAAATGTAATATTACTTATTGTTATATAAATATAAAAGGTCATCATGGAGCAAATCTTGAACGACACATAAAAGAAACCACCCTCTAGAATTCGACAAAATTAACAAAATATCACAACAAAAGGCTAATAAATTAAAAAAGTTTAAGTTATCAAGCAAACAGATGATAGAAAAAGCATTAAAAGAAAAAACAAAGTAAAACTAAATAAAAAAAAATAATAATCGTTGTTTGCACTGAGTTGGTCACTTCTGATGGTAGACCATTCAAATTAATCGATGATAGCGGTTTTAAAAAAAATTCTTGATCCTATATTAGAAGGCATGGGTTATATTAAAATTAATTATAAAAATATTCAATTCAATTTTGCAGAACTAGCCTTAAGTATTAGGCAAAATATTACAAATATATGGTATGTTATTATCTCTAAAAATTGACTGTTACTCATATAGAGGTCCATTATTGGGATTAATCTTCAGTATATTCAAAAATTGCTCTGAGAACACGCAATGAAACAAATGTCTAAACGGCCCATTGCAAAAATTTAAAATTCCTTTTAATAAAAGTATTAAATGATTATTAAATAAAAACATCACAAATATACACGATAATAACTGACGATGGGGCAAATCTTATTAAGATCGCAAAAATGGAGGATAGTGATGATGACAATCAAATGTCTGAAAATGATGAAGAACAAATACAAATTGTCTGATATCATACTGGCAGTTCCGGCTACCCAATTTAGTGTGAAAAGATGTTTTTCACCAATTAAATTTAGACTATCTCCTTATAGATTTAATTTGAGTGAGAGAATCTTGAAAATATATTCATTGTGTGGCTTAATATAAATTTTTAAGTAAATAAAGTTCAATATTGTTCATATTAAAATAAATCATTGATATTTATATGTTCCATATATAAATTATATATTATTTTATGTGCAATTAATAAAAATGAAGATTTAATGTATGTGTTTTTTATTTTAATGATAAAACAAAAATATTCGTCCCTATACATAATTCGAATGTAAGGAATACAAAAGTGTTCAAACGGGTTTTTAGAGGTTCGAACCGAACCAATATTTTTATTTTTTACGAACCGAACCGATATTCGTTTCGGCTTGAATCCCTGATAAAACTGTCTTTTAGCAAAATATGTAAAAAGATAAATATAGGTAAGAAATTAGATATAAAATATTCTTCACAAGGTTTTTATTTTGGGTAAAAAGTTATCATTAACATTGTTACTCACTGGCTTTACCCTGGTCTCCTCTAATCACTGAACAATTTTTGATAGGTGTATTTTATAATATTTTTTCAAGCAAAATAAGAAAATGTGGGATTGGTTTAAAAATTTTATTCACAGCTTCAGCTTAAAAACATTTTTTCACACATCTTCCTAGGGAATTTTTTCCAAGCGGATTTCTTTTGCTGGGTTATAAAAAAATTGTTTCTTTATAGACGATTCAAAACGGCTCATCTTAATATTATAAAAATGGCTAGGCATTTAATAAGCTTAGGTAATAAAACTGATAAGGCTAATTAGCTGTAGCCTTTTTTTTATTAACTGTATGGCTAAGCTGTAAGAGAAATTAGGCGTTTGCCAACTTTGTCATAACTATAATCCCAGCTCGACCTCTTAGAAATTAAACTTTTTTTAAATGTGCTAAAAGTATTTTAAACTACTTACAAATTAGCTATTTTCCACCATTGATTGTTATTATAATGAATAATAATTAAAATTCGATGTTAAATATATTTTTTATAAATAATTATTATAAATATATGAAATCCATAATTTTTTTAAAATTAATATAGAATCCTTTTAATACAGGTATAAATATGAACTTAAAGATATACAATTAATAATACATAATATTCGTTCATATTATAAAAATAATGAATATGTAATTTTTCCGATTATTACATATCATCGCACGCATTTAATTGACTAAGTTTATCCCAAAAAACGTATACTCATCTTTTGTTCAACGTCAATTTTTTCGAGCGCCTAAAAAATTTTTTAATTAAGAAATGGATAATTTTCAAACAATATTTGATATTAAAATTAGTTCGTTTTAAGATATTGATATCGGTAATGGCCGTTCTAGTTTCTTTAAAAAAATACTTAGCAAAATTTGCGAGGCTCTTTTGCAAAAGAAATATGCCTCTAAGACACGGGATATTTAAAATAATTAATTTCATATATACATTTTTAAAAAAAATTTCATAAATTGATTATTGTGAAAAAAGTGGTACAATACATAGAGAATAATTCACATATATAAGCAGGGACGTAAATTGAGAGTAAATGGAACGATATATTCTGGAATTTTCCCGAAAGGATTCGGAAAGTTTCTAAAAATGTATTAAAATTTATGGAAATGGATTTCAGCATTTTGTTGAAAATCATAATCAAGAACTAATTAATTCATTTACCCAGAGCTAGCCAAACTATGAATTTTTATGTCTAAAATATTTCAAATTTAATATTCTAATTATAAAAGTTGAAGAAATATTTTAAAAAATATGAACCACATTTTTATCTCCCTATTGTTTTAATTTTCTTAAAAAAAAAATTATTTTAAAATATTCAAACCACGTTTTTTTATTCACCAGTTTTAATAATTGTAAGAAATAACATGATTCAGAAATTTAGTTCATTTGTTGACTAAATTCGTATAGTAACTAATTTAGAGGTTTATAAATAATTTATTAAATTTTTAGGCAGTTTTATTTAACTTTTTTTTCTATAAATTTAATTTTATCTTATAAAAAATTTAAATTTACAATTTTATTTTTGATATTAATTTAAAAAACATCCATATCACCATTGTGGTATAATCGAGATTGACGGAAAATATAAAAGTAATTTATTAAGACATCTTAAATGTATCAATGTATTCATGTTAATGCTTAAATAAATATTAAGGAATAATATGTTGATCTATAAAATATATTAGGTTGAATAATTTTATAGGAACGGTATGTTCCAAGGCTCGGAACGAAGCCGGAACGCTAAAATGCTCTTGGTCCTTGCTAGAGATGAAATAAGAAGTTTATTAGTGTATGTTCTATGCTGTAAATATAGATGGAAAAATGAAGATTCAAGCTTTGGGATATTGGATGGGAAAGCCAAATAGGGTTCAGGAATTGGTTGAATAGTATAAATGAGGTGAGTACTGGACTTAGTGACAACTAAAATTGGGGAATAACTATATTATAATTATGTTACATTAAAAAAATATTTAAAATAGTGTTAATATGGTAAATAATGTCACAAACTTCACTAAATTCTTGATAAGTTATGTAATTATTATGATCGGTATCCACTTCCGCTAACGTCCTATTAGCTATGCTACTGATTTGTTCTGGGGTAATATTTTCGCCTACCATCATTTGAAGGATGGCTATGAGTTCTTCTTTCGATATTTTGTCGTCCCTATCTAAGTCGTACAAGTTAAAAGCGACTAAAAAAATGTTTAAAAAAACTATTGATTTTAAATCTTCGATTTATTTTGAGTGTTAGGGCTAAGGTTATATCAGATCGTTTTAATGTTCGATTCGAGAGCATCTTTTAAAAGAGAGAAACTCAAAAACTTAGAAATGCTAAATAATAACGTTCACAAAAACTTAGATATTTCGGGATTTAAACATTAAAATATATATGGCGTGCTTATTAATTGTATGAAATCCAAATAATTTCCATATTAAAGTAATCGATGTATGCCTTACATATAATATAAAAAAAATACCCTATATAATTTAGTTTTAATTTTTATTTATAAGAATACCAAACGTTAACTGATATGGTCTTAATCTTATATTACTCAATTGCAAAATATATATTTTTTAATCATAGGGTTACATTTGAATTCAACATTATTTAGTGGAGTGGAAAAAGCCCCCGGTAATAAAATTCAGCATATCTAGCTAATCTGATATGCTGAATTTTATTACCTGATAGAAATACAATAAATGCTACGCAATAATATAAATTGGTTTTGAGTGACATTTATAATTGGACTCGGATTAAAAGCAATATTTTTTGGTTGATCAATCAAAGAAAATCGTTGGTCGAGTATCAAAAATATGCTCTTTTGCAGAAATATGTTTGATTATCCTCTACCTAGCCATCACCTAAAAGAGCGTATCTCAGCAGGCTATTGAAGCCTTACCTTTTTTAATTAAATTAAAATAGTTTGTCTCTCCTGGATAATTTCAAACGTTACTTGCAGTGCGACCGACAAAGGAATAGATTAAAAACTAAATTTATTCTATGCTAAAAATTGTATTCTTTTGGCATAAGTTAGTTTTTTTTCTTATATGTTTTTTTTAAATTTTTGCGCCACCTATCTTTTATGTGCCTGTATTCATTTTAAATTTTAATTAACCATGCAAATCTAGGCACTAACTTGAATAATATACCAAAATAAAAAACAAAGGTAAAAAATAAATAAGTTACTTCTAAAAAAGAAATAAGATTCAAATTTTTTTGAGTTTTTATCATTGCTGAGCCCTTATATAATTATAATAAAATAATTGAAAAAATCCTGAAGAGTATTATTTTAAATCTAAAAGATATGAATAAACAATATTCATGCTTAGTCATCTAAACAATATTAATATATCTTGAAATAGGAAGGACACCTTACCTAAACTAAAATAAATCTTCATATTGAATAGTCGACTTACATTTATAATGCTCTCCTTCTTTCTTAATCATAATTCTGCCATAATTCATTTCTTTCTAGTTATTATAATCTTATACGTATTTAAACTTCATATATATACGACAGATAAATTACATCTAATTTTTTCCTCCTTATTATTGTAAGGGTTAGGTTTGTTCTTGGATATGGGCCTGAAACGAGCCAAAACTCTTATAAATTGCCTAAAATTAACGTGTTCTCCGTCTCCTTCGTGAAGAAAAGCGTGAATTATTCTTTCGACTAGTGGATTAATAGCTAGTTCTGGAATCTTCAAAAACTCTTCTCGCCTATAAAATATATTATTAATAGATTCTAAACATGTTATTTTTTTCAGAAGAATATTTTGTAGCAACAGAGTCCAATAGACCTTGTCTTAAATAAAAATATAAAGATTTTTTAAGCAGAGACATGCAGGTCCAGAAACCAAACCTGTATTCATTTACTGCTCATATTTTACATTTCGATTTTAATCAATGTTATTAAAGTTCTTGACTTTTTTTCCGTGCCCAACTATATAAATTTATGTAGTGTGGTTAAACCATTCGATTTGAGCTGATTTTTAAAAACAGCTAGCCAGAAAAATTTGCCTAAGCCTTAAGATATGGCTAATAATGTCCAAATCTTTGTGCTATCTATAACCAAAATTATCAGGCTTTTGTAATATTTATCTGGATGTAATATTGAGTTAATTTAAAAATCGGCTCAAATAGAGCCGTTTTACAAAATTTATGTATTTCTCATTCTCCGAAAATAAATTTATAATAAATAAAATCCTTTTTACTCAATTACATTTAATAATATTTTATTAAAACAAATTTATGTACGAACAAATTATTTAAGTAAAAAATAAATATCTTTCTCTTTATTTATTATTATAAAAATTCCTTCATATCATTTTTACACATAGAAGATAAAGAAAGTTTTATTTTATACTACTTTATTTAAAGTATAGTGAGATTCACAACCAATAAGGAGTGGTTATAAATAGTTGCATTTTTAACAGGTATTAAGCCAACTCTAAAAATACTGAACTGAATTTTTAATCAAAAACTATCATCTTGCCTCGATCGAGGACTAAACTTAAAACAGAGCTCAATCTTGAAAAAAATTATACGGTTTTGTGAATTTTTTTGACTGTTAGGATTTAGCCGAATTAACAATACCATGTCCAATTTTAACAAAATCTCATGTTTAAATAGGAATTTGAAATTTTTAGTTGTTATAATAAATCAAATCACAAAGAAATAATAAATTGCATTTTCTCTATCAAATTTATACCTAAAACAAATTATTTGTTATTCGATAATCGATTCGTATTTTACGAATACGAATAACACAATTATTCGATTCGAATTTTCCAATCAAATTAGAATAAAGAAAATATATTAATTGTCGACTTTTTACCTATTATTCGATCGAATTATTCGAGATTATTAGATTTAAATAATTTATATTAATAAATATTAAAAAATAATCATATATTATTAGTAGGAATTATTTGCAATTATTCCTATTTAATAAAATTTTTAGTGGAATAATGAAGAAACATTTTATATTTCTAAATGTTGTTAACGGCTGTTTTTATTCGAATAACTTCATAATACAAAATTAACATCCGAAAATTGTTTTATGATGGACAAAGAAAGTATTTATTTTTATATGCAATTTATTAAACATATATAATTATAATAAACATGTCGCTTCCCGTCAAGAATGACGGGCGAACCAGATATTTCTCCTTCGTTTGATGATGGGGAAATCATAAATTTGACTTTTTGCAAAAACTTTGTGTTTAAAAAATTTGTTGTTGGTATATTTGTCTTCTACATGATATGAATATTATATTGATTTTATTATATTATATATAAATATACTATATATGTGTGCTTCTATATTATCTTACTAATAAAATTTGTTTGTCTTTTATCCATAGTTAAATTTTACAAAATATAATATTCTATCTTTTTAATTTATGGTTAAATAAAATTTTCGAATTGAATCGAATAATTCGTATTTTGTAGGTATCTTTGGTGTTCTTTTGCCATTTATCCATTTTATTGATTGATATTTAAAAAAAAATTATTAAGAACATTTGACAAAAAATTATGTAGGCAGCGTCTACATGACAGATATTCATCAGAAGCAAACCCCCTCCAAAATCTACCTCTACCCTTCTAAAAAATGCTTATTAAATTCTCTCAGGCCAGGAATAAGAGATAATCATTATTGGTGATAATCAACTAGTTGTTAGTAATCATATTCTAAATATTATCCATGAGCATGCCACTTCAAACTGTACTAAAATGTTTTTGAATGAATGAGAAAGAAATATTTATTAATAAATTTTAATATTTTTATCTTTAATCTAAGAATGTTTATTTTTACTTTACCAGCCTCTAAAATAATTAAAGGCATATTGTTCCTACCCTTGTCTTCCCATGTAGACACTGTATGTAGGCAATTATTTACAGATGTAGCTTTGTTTAAAAATATACCATTAAGGACTGGTAAGATTAAAGATAGAGCAATTTATAATTTCTCTAAAAAGCATTGTGCAATCCTGTCTAATATAGCTTTGAAAACAAGGATAAAATGACTTGATTAAATTTTAACAAAACTACTTTTATTTTATAAATTCTATCTGATATATTCAAAAATAAATTGGCCTAAGCCTAGATGCCCTAATTGGTGATAAGTAAATAAAAAGATTCAAATTAAATGATGATGAGCTTTGACAATATATCATGAAAATATTTCTATTAAAAATTTAAAAAATTTCTTAACTGTGTAGATACTTTATCATAAAACCAAGTGTAAAAAGAGGGCATTCATTATGATTTTGATATGCCAGATAAATGATTTTGTTTAAGATAAATAATTTTTCAAATTGAATGTGTATAAATATTAATTCACCTTCAATATTGGAATGGATTCCAGATTCCTGTATCAAAATAGAGAAAAAAAACCATTACAGGTGAATCTTAGAAAAATATAGCCAAAGAATTAGAAGAAATGAAAGATTTATAGAATTTTTTAAAATTTATATTTAAATTTAATATTAGTGGTATTAAATTACATTGTTTTTAAAATATAATATAAATATAAAATTGTTCATATTTATAATAATAAAATGATTATATATAAATCATATTTTTTTGATAATATATAAAATATATTGTAGAGCACCTGCCAAGTTTTTAAAATATACCACTGGTTGAAAACTTTAAAAAATTAATATTGTGTCAAATTTGATATAATATCAAATACCCTATTCCAAGATTCAAATTAGATTTTTTTAATTTTTCCATCCTGGCTCTGGATTAAAAAAATTTTGTCATTTTATAGCATGCCCAGGCTTTATTTTCACTATAAATAATTTTGGATCTTTTTTATAAATGTATAATACAAAATATGAGAAGCAAATGTTTAAATGATTTTTCAACAAGTTTTAATATATTTTTAATTTCTCATCTTAAAAAATTGTCCAGATCTTGATCATACCAGCCCACTCTACATACTTACCCTAGCCAGGCTTAGGTCTGGACCTGCAGGATGATTGAGTAGACAGTTATTTAAAAAAAATTTATTTTTAATATTCACATTAATGAATATGAATTAAAAAATAGTTACTCAAGAGCTCCACTTCCAGATTTGTCTAAATTAGTAAAACGGCTATATAAACGCACGATTTGGTTACGAGAAACTATAAAAGATATTTTAAATAAAGAAAATACATTTTGTTTCAATTGCTAGATAAGAATTAATCATTGGACTATGAGATATTTTCTTATAGAAGTATCTTCTATTATTTATGATACATTAAAATATTAGAGTATCACAAAATTAATTAAATCAAATTGAGACATATTAAAAATAACTCTTTACATCCAGTTTCCTTCCTAATATCTTCAATTTCTTCCTCCTGTAACAATTGAGTAGATTTGTTGCCCATCTATAGCCAAATTGTTTAAATACGGGATAGATGAATCAACATATGCTAAAAATATTTTAATTATTTGAAACATTTGCAGTGTTTTAGTAAATTAAGCTATTTTTACTCTCTTATCATGGCATAAATATATTTTGCGTGTTTAAAATTGTCATTTTAAATTCAATATTTAAAGATTACAATAAGATACATTTCTGATTATGAATATTAAAAATATGCATACCATATCTATTTACTATATATTATTATTTTCTATAATTCAACTTCATAAAATGTAACCTATCTGTTGCAGTTTTACTTTACAAAAAAAATGCATTATGCAAATCGTAAACAAAAAATAATGTTTTATTAAAATATCCCCGTCTATGTAAATGAGAAAAAAACGCGTGAGATTTGTAGATTTTTTCATACTTTAACAGTTTTAACAAGTGGGATGTAGAACTTTTTATTCTTCGCTAGGGAGACTATGTAAATGTTGATTAAAGAAAAAGGATATATAATGGAGAAATTATGATGCGAAAAAGGATTATTATTTTAACTAAAATTTACTTTTAATTTTTTAATTTAATTTTATTTTATTTTTTTATGATGTTTACTATTATAATTTTGAATAAAGAATTAAAGTTGATTTTATGATTTCGTAATTCCTAATTATTATTAATTTCCTTTTATATATATATATTTGTTTTCTATTTTTATATTTAGGTTTTTATGCACAATGACAAATCTTGTCGTTGTGACAGTGGTGCCGAAGAGCGGAGGAGACCGGCCCTTAATAACCTTCAGTCTGTGACCGGCAACAAGGAGATGTGTCAAACTGTATTCTAATACAAAAAAAAAATTCCAGAAGAACGTAAGAAAAATATGTAAATAAAGATGAAAGGGAAAAATTATGTGGTTAAGATTATGTTTATGTAGGATATAAAATCTAAAATTAAAGACAAAGGTAACATTCATAGTAGATAGAGATAATTGTGTTTAGTTATTTAAAGGTGATAATTAGGAATTTTATATTTAGAAGTTACTGGTAAACTAAAAACCAATGGAATTTTGAAACTAATAAAGACTATGATATTTTAGATTTTAGAATTATTATCAAGTGATCACTAGAAATAACTTTGACAAAGAAATAGAAACATAAATTGCGAAAGTTAATATTTAACTAATAGGTTGCGGAGATATAATAATTAAAAAATTCGGTGAATAAGATTAGAATATAACTTTATTGTTAGGAAATAGTTGATTAAATTCTTATTGAAGATTTACATTTAACTTTTATTTTAAGGGCTGCGAGAGATAAAACAGCCTCAAGGATTAGTGTGAATTAGTATATTAGGTTGTAGATTAACCAAAAAATCTTCATAGAGAGAATCGGCTTTTCGTCATTAGAAAATTTATGCCGCAATCGAGTTCAATTTGAGATCGGATTTTTATTTTTTTGAATCATAAATAAGATTTGAGACAATTATGCAACATTATTCTAATAATAACAGAAAGAAAAACATGCTTTAGAAATATACATATCAGTTTTCAACAACGGTTGTGCGAAAAGTTATAATGATTAGATTTCATAAGTTCTTCAAAGACGTGGGGTGAAAACCATAGTGATTAGAGTTAAGAGGTTGTTCATAAACGTAAGTATGAAAACTTATATGATTAGATGTCATTGATTTCTCAACAACGTATGTATGAAAAGAGATTTATATATTTCAGCAGTTTTTTTTTAAAAAAAAAACTTGAGTAAAAGAAAGATTTTGATATATAGTAGAATAGTATTTTTAGATATAAATTTAGGATAGACATGGCTGAAAAGAAGATAGATCAATAGCTAAAGGATGAGTACAAGTATATTTTTCAATGGAAATATGGGTCTAGGCTTCATTAAGGGGAAAGGGGTGATAGAAGGTGATATATTTATATAATTTATTATATTTTGCTACGTATTATAAAATTTAAGATTTAGTATAATTTACGCCATTTATTAAAGGCAGAATTAGTTTAGAGGAGATAAATGTAGATATGTAAATAGATTATTTCAGGTAGAAGTAGATTGTGATTACCCGATATCTCAGCAAGGGCAAACTGTCGTAGAAGACCCGAAAGTCTGAAAGATAGATACAACCAATCAATTACAAGAGAAAGGGGGAAAACAAGCAAATTGATAGAAAAGAGGGTTAAGACGTTATGCTACAATAGTTAATCGCGGATCAATAACAGCCAATTATTATCGAGACTTGAGTCTAAGATACGGAAATCGACAATCATAGGAACAAGAATTCGTGAAAACCATCGTTTATCGCAGACCAATCGTTTATCGAGATAAAAAGCTAATCGTGGATTACAAGAGAATGATAGAAAACAAGCTACGATGAAACTGGATGGCATCGATAATCGTTCATCAAGAGTGGATCGTGGAAAACAAGCGTGTATCAAGTTCGTCAGTGGCTTACAGCGATAAAAAGCTGATCGTTTCACAGGGTGACAAGCGACAGATAGAATTCAAAAATTTCAAGCGACAAAGCCTTCGTTAGAACTTAGAAGACAGCAAAAATTAAGAAGAATAAGTCGAGATCGAAAGAAGATTGATTATTCGCAGATTGGTGGGTCTAACTTAAGTGGAAGGGTGTTGCAGTTTTACTTTACAAAAAAATGCATTATGCAAATCGTAAACAAAAAATAATGTTTTATTAAAATATCCCCGTCTATGTAAATGAGAAAAAAACGCGTGAGATTTGTAGATTTTTTCATACTTTAACAGTTTTAACAAGTGGGATGTAGAACTTTTTATTCTTCGCTAGGGAGACTATCTAAATGTTGATTAAAGAAAAAGGATATATAATGGAGAAATTATGATGCGAAAAAGGATTATTATTTTAACTAAAATTTACTTTTAATTTTTTAATTTAATTTTATTTTATTTTTTTATGATGTTTACTATTATAATTTTGAATAAAGAATTAAAGTTGATTTTATGATTTCGTAATTCCTAATTATTATTAATTTCCTTTTATATATATATTTGTTTTCTATTTTTATATTTAGGTTTTTATGCACAATGACAAATCTTGTCGTTGTGACACTATCTATATTTAATCTAGATTAATTTTAAAAAATTAATATAAATTAATAAATAGTCAATATTATTGCATGTTTAATAGCCATGTGCATGTCTATTTTACATGCATTTATCGAGGACAAATTTTATTGTACAAATATATGTATATTTAACCTGAATATTTTTTTAGATGTTATTATAAAGGAAAAAATAATATTACAAACGAATATTTTATTAATTTTCACTAAATTTTAAAATCAGAGAGGGGGTACCCTAAATATATTATTCTTAAGTCAACTCAAGCTAAACTTTTATATACTTTAAATCGAATTAGGCATAGTAGATAACCGCATCCTCCATTGATTGATAATTTTTCACATTTTAATTTAACCCATTAAAATTTTACACAGAAGGGCAAGAATCAAGCGTAGTCTTTTATTTTAACAACGCAAAAGAGCCCAAGCGCTTTAATAAATAATTGAGTAGTAATTTCAATTTGATAGCAATAGTTTTACATCTGTTACATATATCAAAAATAAATTATAATAATAAATTAATAATTAAAATATCAATTAAAATAAATTATTTAAATGATTATTTATTTTTATATCGGAAATATCGCAATGATTTAATATATTATATAAAATAAAAGAGAATATGATCGTAAAATGATCCATTTGGTTCATTTTCGGTCAAAATGGACGATTTTTTCATTCATATGCATTTATTTAATCATAATTATTCTATAAGCAATTTTTTATCAAATCCAAGCAAGCAATTTTTAATATCATCTACATTTTTATCCAGGAAATTTTCTATTCATAAATATATCAGATACTTCAATCAATTTCTTAATATTTAAGATAATTATTTCAATTAATCAATTCTTATATCAGATGATATGCAATTTTTATATCAGATTATATGCAATTCTTATATTAGATGCAACAATTTGAGTATATCAGACTATGTTTTAATTATATTATGATATTTTATATTATGAGTATTTTATGTAGAAATGTATTATATAATTTAAAGCTATACCTACTAATAAAATTTAATTAGCAAATTTGATATACAATTTCTTAATAACAGAACTTTATAAATATGATTACTTAAGAAAAATTTTAATGATTAAGAATATTTCTTATGCATTTTCTCATTATAACTTATGTTAATTCTTAATATAACTTATGTTAATTCTTAATATAAAAGAATTCACTTACGCAATTTTTTAATATAACTTATAAATAAAATTAATTGATAATTGAGTCATCGGATTTTATTTTATTTATAAATTTGTCTATAATATTTAAATTATATTGATTAATAAGATTATTTATATTCTTTTCTTTTGTTATATATTTATTATTGGGTTTCTTTAAGCTCATCCCCATGTCTAGTTGAACCTTCTTTAATTTAGTATTTCTGTGATTGTTTTGGATCAATTTTATAAAAGCATATATATTTGGATCTACTGGGTATGTTAGTATTCTGATCTGTACAAGATATACATTGAGAATCTTTACCTAAATTAATGTAAGTAATCTAGATAGGTTTGGTATTAAATATACCTTCAGCTGTTAGATGATTTTGTGTCACTTCAAATAAACTACCTGCTAACTTACCTCTGCCTTTACAAGGTCTCCTTCTGAGGCGGTTATATACTGTAGGCCCAGCTATTCTATGTATGGTTTACTGAAAAAGGTTATAGCAGAGTATATCCTTACCTTAATGACTGGGTAAGATGAAGAATGGTTGTTAGATTGAATCTATAATCGATCAGAAAATTAGGACTTGTAAAATTTAGCTAAAATAGAAACATAATCTTATTTAAATTAATCTTATTATATTTAGAATTCACCATAAAAATTAAATGTCACAAAATAACACCAATATCTATAAAAATAGAAATAAATATGAATTAAAAAAAATTTCATGAATCTTTCATTTTTTTCGTTTTCTCTGGCTGGGCTATATTTTTCTATGGAAGGATTAAATTCACCTGTGACGATGAAT